TCGACAAAGCTTGACAAAAACACAGCTACCACTCTGACAAAATAAAAGCAGCCCATTGCTTTGGAGTATAGTTATTCTCGGCTTTGAGTCTCCCTTGCTACCGATATTTGAGTTACATATGATTGGTACGTGAGTTTCAGTGAAATCAATGTTACAATCCAGTTCTAATCCTTCCTGACAAAGGAATCAGGAACTACAGCTCCAGTCTCACTTCTTTTCCTTTTACCCTTCACACCCTCAGGTACAAAGCAACGTCTCTTGTAAGGCTCCGTTTTAATTAAGTTTAGCAAGACCAGGTTAACCAAGCTCCCATCTACTCAGTAACTTCTTCATAGCTGTCGCTGGGTTCCCAACAGAGCATCCAACAGGCTACTTACATTTTTCCCCCCTGCATGTAGGATTGCCAGTTCTTTTTCACTTTTATTACCAGCTGAGAAGAGGCAGCCTCTCTCTCCTGGAGCCTTTAGGTCTTATTTCTCACTAGGACCTCTTTTATTTCTCAGAAGACCTGTCCTCTTGAAGTCTCCCCTTCAAAGAGGGTGGATCTCCAAATATAGCCTATCTAGAAAAAGCTTCACTAGCATCAATAGTTTTCCTAGTGTTTCCTATCTAGGAAAAGCCTTGTTCATTGGTATTCTTTAAACCACAAGCACACTTTAACTTCTACACATAGAGCCTGTGCTTTAGGCTTAGATTCAAGTTCCTTCCTCCCAGGAGCCCTAGAGCTAGCTCAGGTGCAGCACATTACAGCTGAAGAGAGGATGCGGACATTAACTCCTTCATGATAGGCAGGGGCAAATACCAGGTGGCCAAACCTGCCCCCCCAGAAAAGAGACATACGTGGCTTCAAAAGCAACAGTATCAGCCCAGGTTTTAATTCTTTCCCAGTTTCTTTGAGCTCAGCTATGAACTGTCTAGAACACAACAATACTATAGCTTTGCAAGGAGACAGAAAATCATAACTGAAAGTAACAGTAAAACAAGATTACAATTCTGCCAAATTTATTACAGACATTCTCTGTCTGTTAAAAGGTAAAGGAAATTGCCACTGCTGGCTTTTTTCCTGATAACTGGAGAAGAAATGGACAGAATAAGAAGAGAACTCTGCATTCAAACCCACAGCAAATACAACCATAATCAGATAAAAGAAAGATTAACATAGCGCTCTTGAAATAAATTCAATCTGGTTCACAGAAACAAGTTCCAACATACAAGGACATAAAAAACAACACAAAGAAAAATGTAAGACAACTTAAGCCAAAGGCAGGACGGCTTGTCCAAATCTGGAGCAGTTACTGACATGAAGGTTTCAAGAACTGTGTGTCTATGTGTGGTCAGCTTGGCTCACAAGCAAGCCTGGATGGCTCAATACCTAAAAGAATGTAAAAAGCTCATACCTAAGAGGTGTGTGTTCAAACTCAGTCAGCGACTGACTTTTTAAAAACAGACACAGAGGTCACATGTCTAGCCTAGCTCTATCTCTTGGCCACTCATCAGATGGCTATTTGGGGCTCTGTGTACTTTTAAGTCCCAAAACCTGAATAGTTGCTGGCTTAGAAGAGAGGCGCTCCTTTCCGCTGCTCTGTTAGCGTAACAATTACTCAAAGCTGGACAAAAATAATAAACTTGACCTAGGATTTCACTCCCTCACAATTTGCTCAATGTTCTGGGACACTCTATGAGCTGGAGTCAGTTCGAGTGGTTCAAGATCGTTCTCTGCAGTTTGCACATTCAGTTGTTTCATACGAGACTTTCGGAGCAGCTCTGCCTCTTGCTCCTGCTTTTCTCACCATCCCTGTGGATGTTACCTTGACTATGACTGCTACATTAGCAAATAGCACAGACCAATAAGGATCAGTTGGTAAAGCTAATCTGAGTATCTAACATCTGCACTACATACATTTCAGCATTTTGTTTTGGGTTCTTCTGGAGAGCTCTAGCCTGGTCCCATGAACCAAATACCTATCTGTGGCCAGAGTATATCTGTCCTGGCACGCATCCTCCAGTTCATTCAAAAGGAATCCAATCCACACAGTTCAAAACCACTCCAAAAACACAAACAAAAATATAGCCTGAAGACTCACTTTGAAAGAGTACTCCTGATCTAAACTAAAACACTAACGTAAGCACACCCCTCGATTACCCCATTTCTTAAAACCTTAAAAAGGAAGAAAAAAACAAAAAAAATGAATACCCGATTCATACAGGCAAGGAGTTTTCTGTACCAATAATTTTCTATACCAAGCTCTTTTTCCATGGATCACTGTTTAATAACCATGTATTGACTCTGGTTTGGAACAAAGTAACAGTGATGCAAATTCAAGCAGAGGCTACGTAGACTTTTGAAACTTGTAGGAAACCAGTCTCCCCAAATGTATAACCCATATCTAGCTTCCTCAAAATTCCTATCGCTTCCCCCGAAAAAACCCAAGAAACAAGAACACCTTCCAGATACCTCAGGGAGTTTACACAGATGGAATAGAGGCTGTCTAGCTCACTCATTCAGTAAATAGACTGCGCCAATGCAATTTCAGGGAGACATTGTATGTTAAGCTTCCATCTACTTCAGATAAACCATTTCCATCTTCTCCCCAGAGAGATTAAATAAAAGCGAAGTCCTTGGGCTGCTTAACTGATCTCATCACCTAATTAATCTGATTACTTGAGGAAATCAGGAGAGAGGAGGACATCCTCCAGTGAGTGTCTCAGACCCCTCAGGAATGAAGTGTTTAAGGGCAACAGAGGATCGCTTTGCTTTCTGATCTCCATCTCCCCCCCCCCTTTTTTTTTTCCTTACATACGTATATACATTAAAGATGGAAGTTTGCTGTCTCCTTGTGATATAATTCAATTTCTCTTCGCAACTGCCCCTAAGAAGTTAGGGGATAGAGAAGCCGTACCAGAGGTGATTATCTAGCTGACCAGCAACTGCAATTGAGGTAAGACACTGCAATTTAAGCAGAAGGGAATAGACGTCAGGGAGGCTGAAGTCTACCTTCTAGGAGCATGTTAGCAACAAACTGACAGGTCCTTATAAATGAGCTAAAGAAGGCAATTACCCCTCAGTTCTCCCATCTCTTGCAGGCTCAGTGGTCTTCCAGAGTCATAAATCAGTGAAAGAAAATTCTTCCTCAATTGGATTTTCCCACACTGGGTTCAGCATTGTTTGACAGGTGTCTTAAGTTCAGCACTGCTCTCTTTACTAGTTCTCAGTCTTTACTTTTTAAGGTACTGCTAAACACACCACTGAAACTGAAATGCAGTTAAAGTGGTTAGCAAGTTCACCTCATGGGTATGAGCCTTTGCATCAAGTTTTACACTTCTACCCTCACTCAGAAACACTTTACCCCCACCTTCCCTGAAGCACGCATCTCTGCAAGTTAGAAACCAAGTAAAGCAATAGAAGCTTTTACTGTCACTTCACTTCCACATACCTTGTTTGATTATATCATACAGCATCCAGCTGTGATGCAATTAATTTCATTATCAGTCATGTATTAAATTCACAAATACCCATGGTGGTATAAGGCACATACAGAGAAGAGTAGAGACCAGAGAAGTCAAATTGGTACACACATCACATGCCCCTTTCCCACACTTGGGTGCATACAGCTAATCAGCTGCAGGTACCAGCATGTGTCTCAGCTGAGACCCTTTACCTCCTATGGTTGAGTGCTTGTCAAGGACTTGGTTTGATAGCAAGTTTCCCAGCCATAAACCTTTCCTGTAGCCCCGTTGTGTCTGCTGGTGATGCCTCATTCTTGAGATATATGTTCCGCTGCCTTCTCACAGGTGATGTGCCTCTAAGGAGCTGGGTTCATTTCTACACAGGCCTTTCAGAAGCACAGCCTCCAGACTATCACCCTTGGGCCACCTTTTTGTTCCTCCCTCAAATACAGACTCAGCTGCCTTCAGAAGTACTAGCTAGTTTTCCAGTGGACACCATGTCTTACGGTAAAAGGCTCTAACATTGAGAGCCTTGAGAAGAATTTCACAACTGTTCCAAGTTGAATGAATTCACATGCCTTTTCCAAGCTTTAAGCTTTTCATCTGAATAGAAATCACAACCATCTTTGTCCATCCACCTTCCACATTGCCACAACTCTTTCTGTGCCTTGGGTGTTAGATTTGCACTCTGGACAAGTGGTGCTCAAAATATGACTGCTTTTTTTTGTTTTCCTCTCTTAAAAAAAGGCACTTGCCAAAAGGTTTCCGAGTACAGGCTCCCATCAGTAAGAAGCACTAAAAAAAAAAATCAGTCATCCAGGGCTTCTCATCTCAAGCAGAAAGAATGGTTGGTTCACTTTTACAGCGGAAAAGACAGATGCTTCAGTGTTGCATTCAGCAGCACTGAGAAACTACTGTTCACTGAAGGACAGAGTTTGCCCAGCAAAATCTGGACTTTAAAAGGTATACTTACCGTACTGCAGCTTGCTTGCTAAGATGAATTCCCTGAGCATCTCAGGATGCCCTAGATGAAGTTTAACACTTTTCATTTTAAGTCCTCAAGTTTCCCCCAAAATCAGGATGTAGAAATACCATTGTGCTATGAAGCAGCACAGTTGCCATTAAGACCTACTCTCTTACCATACATTTCTGGTGAGAAAGGATAAGAAGGATGCCAAACAAGCCCTATTAATCAGCCATTGAAAGAAGCACTCCAACAGGAGTTGTACGTTTCCAACACCCTGCACTGTGCTGATAGAGCCCTTGTTTGGCACTCTCATAGCTACACATACAGGTTTTTGCTGTTTTAAGTTCTAGCAGCCACCTACACAGGTAGTATGTATATTTACATATCATATTCAAACACTTAAGTTTTCTTCCTACGAGACATGAAAAATTAGTCTCCAAACAGCTGGGTTTTCAGGTTTCAAATGATTGGTCAAAATAGTACCTATAAACATTGTTACTACAGATTAAAACATTCTACATACTTACGCTCCAGAAACCACTTTAACTTGCATAACTGTTTCCATCAGTAAGACACACAAGACAGATGACTCCCATATGCTAAATCTTTATTGTGCTACTACTGTTTAGAGCTTTTATTACTCTTCATAGACACACATCAAAAAAGAATGTACATTAACAGTGGCTAGATTGATGGGCAATGTAATAAATCTATTCGGTGGTGGTTTGTACACATGCAGTAATTCTTGTGGTGTAAAAGTCTTAGCCAGGAGGCCAGCCCAATTGACGACCACCCAGAATATGGAGATGTACATGATAGACAGACTGCCCACCCTCAGGCCCTTCATTCACAACCATCCGGAATCCATTGGTCAGGCCCAGGTTAGCAGCACACTTCTTGCCAACAATCATTAAATGCCCAAGAAGCTGGAGAAAAAAAAAAAAGAAAAAAGAAAAAAACACACAAAGAGGGGAGAGGGAGGAAGGGAAGGAATGAGAGCAGAGAACCATTCAGAGAAGCCAGTTAGCTAATTCCTTGTAATTCAACCATTGCTCTCCAAATTGCTGTCTGTCTGCAACTGACATTTTCCAAGTAAAGCTACAAAGAGTGATTATGCATAAGAGAGGAAAGAGAGCTATGGAATTTTGTCAAGCTAAACAGTAATGGACTACAAAAGAGTCACAGAAGCTAAATTTGTCTCAGGGTTAAAGCCCCCATTATTTCTTCAGGCAATAGAAGTAATTCTCATGGAAAAAGAAAGTTTACATTTTCTTGCATGGGTTTACAAGATCTTTGAACTTCATTTTTCTGGCTACAAATTAAATATTCAGTACCCCTCTCAAACAACTTACCTTTTCTTCAGCTCCGCCCTGCCAAATACCCCAAGCCCTCTTCTCCATACTAAAATGAGTACTATTTACTGTAAGCCATGAAAATAGGCTGTATTTCACAACATAGCTTTTTGCACTAGCAATCCATATCCAGTGATATAAAGTATTGCACATCTCTATTTTGACTGAAAGATTCCATTGCTGCTATAAGCTAGAGGCAAAGGATTATGGTGTCAGAAGAGCTGAAATAGCCGCCTACTTTTCCTCTTTCTAGTGTCAAAGAGGAAAGAGGGAATGGGGAAGAGTCTAGGAGATTTTGAACTAATTAAAGGCAGTTTGGCATACAGAAAGCTTCCACAATACTTACAGATTCATCAGAGTCTTCTGCTTCAGATAATCGGACAATTGGCTTCTTAGGAACCACTAGGAAATGTGTTGGAGCTTGAGGTGAAATATCATGAAACGCAAGGCACTAGAGGAAGAGTAAACAGTTAAAATGCAGTTTGCTTCAGAGGAAGGTTAATAGTTTAATCAAATCAATAGGGCCCAATAAACATACAAAGTAGAATATCAGATACTCTAAAGGCAAGCAAAGATGTTGATTTTTCTCATTACTATTATTATTAAAGTTTGCCACTTGCTATACACAAATATCTATTTAGAGAGAACTGCTGGTATAAACATAGAACGTTGAATTTTTTCAAGTATTATATAAAAGCAATAGCATTTTAAATGAGGGTTAAGGCTATCATAAAGTTACCTTCACGCTTTACCATTTTCTTATACGCATAACAGCTAACAGAGCTGACTGCATGCATTACTTCCTACAGAAAGTACATTAATGCTTATTTCACTCTCTTCTTAAGGGCCTGTTTAATAATCTAAACAGCAAACAACCACTAACCATCTTTCAGTTGCATCTGAATATTGCTTTGGTCAGATGTAGTAAGGCAGTTTCAAAGAGTTATCCGACTGAGGCTGTATTAAATCTGTCACCTCAATAACACCAGCTATTTCAGAGAAAGAATATTTTAAATAACATATTAAGGCTTCAGACATTCCCGAACTGAGACAAGGGTGTCAGTTTTGAAACATGAACACCTACCTGTAGGAAGTAGGTAACTCCAATTAATTTTACGGAAGTACGAAAGTTACTAGCAATCAGAAACTGCACACAGCAACTCACTAGCCACATTAAATCAATCTCAAGACAAGCGTTTACCTCCAGAAGGGGGATTCTGCATGCAAAATGATGAGGCCAAGGAGAGAGATGAGCATTTTAGAATAGAGACTTCCAGCATGTGGGAAAGTAGAAGAGCAGGCAAAGAGAGGAAGAGGGAGCCATGATGCTGATGCAAGTGGCCAGCCACAGAATCAGAAGTTGCTACTGCCACAACCATGACCTGGAGATGCTCATGCTGTACTACCCATACACTCTGCTACTGCTAACTACTGGGAACCTCTGACTCACTCATAAGACTTAACATCAAAACTTTTTGCAATTAGTGGTCAAGTTATGCCCTAAAGTAAGAGGGCATACCCTTAACACATATTTTAGATTCCTCAAAATATGTATTTCCTAGATGCTTTCAGTTATTTGTGCATCAGGAAACAGAATTTCCTATTCACTTCCAACTCATTGCTTTTTTTAATTCTATACAGAGCACCTGCAGCCTTTGCCAAGACTAAAGGTGATGAGAAGCCCAAACTTTGCTTATTTTAACACCTCCAGCATGCCCTTCCTTAAGCCATCTCTATGTAGATGATGCTCAGTTGTAACTCTCCCTTGATTAACTGCTTCTCTTTCCCAAACTGAAAGGGTGGATAAAAAAAAGAATGGATGAATGGAAGTAATTTGCACACAATTGCTTAAAATTAATTTAGGTTGATCAAAGCCAAAGTGGTTTTCCAAACTGCCTATTCTACGCAGTTCATATAAAGCCAGGAGACAAATGGCTAAGCTGAGTCAAAGAACGTAATGAAGTAGATGAGTGGCAAATAATTTTCAATGGGGTAGAGGGCACACCTTTCGAACAAAAGCATAATCACAGAAAGCCGGTGAATGCAAGTAACACCAACCTTCATTTCAGGTTATTTTACCTATTTTTATTTCAAATGCAACTAAAACAGCACTGATAAGGCTTAATTCCACAGAAACTTTGTACTGTTTGCATCTCCTTTGCACTGTATATCAATTAATGATTAATTAATCTTCATTACATCCCTCCAGATAACATTTCCTACCAACAGCAAACAGACCTTCAGTGCAGTGAACAGAGTGAATTAAAGGATCCTTCACTCTAACCAACTAAACTAACAGCAGTTTTAAATTAAAATCAGGTGAGATACTGCAACCAATTAGTCTGTCATGAATCTGCAATATTTTCTGGAAATCAGAGTAGTTTATCTACTCCTAAATCACTCATCATATTCAAGTTTGTAACATGCTTCTCAGTCAAGCACACTGTTGAGATTAGATTGCTGTAGCCAGCACAGCTGAGTAAAAAGCTAATGCACATTTCACCTTGACAAAAGAAAATAAGCACAGCTTTTCGTAAACGCAGAGCAGTACCACAAGAACGATGAATCGCACAATTTTTGAAAAGTAATGAACACTTCCAACATTCTGGAAAACAGATGGCAGCTACAACGCTATTGTGATCCATTAAAAAAGCACTGTTCCAAGCTATACATTGTTATTAAGCACACAGATCAGCAAAATAGCACCTTTTAGTAAGAGCCTTTTTTCTACATTACAGATAAACCCTATTTTCAAAGTACTTAGTATTAAAAACAAACAAATAAAAAAAGCACCACTCATTTTGGATACTAACTTAAAGCTAACCTCTTATAACATCTACTTTTTTTTTCCAGACTTGAACTGGATCACTTGGTTCCTAGCACATTACAGGGCACTAGCATCAGCAAATTTTTCAAGCATGCCACAATCATGGTCCCACTTCACCAGATCACAGGCATTTTTGCAGCCTGTAGGGCAAGTAGTTTCTAAGTTTAAAAAAAATGAAAAGAAGTAATTTTTGATAAGCTTGGTGGTTCATAACCAAAGCCTGGCACGGCAGAGCTGCGAAATCTCTATGAGAACCACTGCTAGGCCTATCAACATCAGCATTTCTGATAACGAAGAAACAGCTAACTACGGTCACTAGCTGTGCAAGGGCGCCCCGAGGCCAAAGGCTTTAGTGCCAGAAGCCGCCCCCCCGCCCC